TAATTAAAACGCTACCCACTTAGAGCAACTCCAAAAGGCAAGTAACAGACACACAAAAATATAACACTTAAACTAAATCATTTTTCCCCTATGAGGAATTTAGTGTCTTCAGAACTAGATCAAAAGTTTGTAATTTTGTCACTGTGCCTTGCTGTAAGTAAGTCTAAGTATGTGTAATGGAAATAAAGCACATTTTCCCCTGCCTTCCTTTCCTTTCCTCTGTCCTTTCTTTGCTATGGTCAATCTATATTCCAGTTTGTAAGCCTCTTGAGGCAGGGACCTGCTCTCTTATATAGAGTAAAGCACCACGTAACACCAATTCTGTGCAACCTTCACTGGCTGCCAATGCCAGGGCCAATTTAAGGTTCTGATGTTAACACTAAAAACCCTAAACAACTTTGTGCCCAAATACTTTGAAGGAGTGCCTCTCTTGGTACCTGTCAGCCAAGGTACTGAGATCTGCTGCCAGTGGCGGGGGTCAGAGCACTGCTCATGATCCCAAAACGCAGGACGGGGACTTTTCAGTGGTGGCATCCTGCCCATAAAATGACCCCACCCAGGATGTTTTGGTTGTCACCCTCATTACTGAGTTTCTGACAGTTGTAAGTCACATCTCTTCACTTGGGTCTTTGGGAGAGTTTGATGCTGTTCTGCATTGATTTGGTTGCATTAATTAAGGTGAAGGCCAGATTATTGTTCTACATGACTACGTTTTTGTGTGCTTCGACGGAACTCATTGTTTTAATGATATTTCTCTACACTGCCCCACGATTCTTGCTGATGAAGGGTAGTTAAGCAAATAAACAACTTGAAATGGAAAAGAAATATACAAATAACTACAGCTACAGGCCAATAATTGCCTGTAAGTGGAGGCAGTTTCCCCTGCCCCATCATGATTTGTGACTTGGGAGAGCGATGGCTGCTTCCTAAGGGATTTGGGGCAGAGGTTAGGATGACCCAAGAGCTCCCTGGCATGCTTACTGACTCTTGGCACTCTGTTCCTGCTTAATTTTTGCGGTGAGTACAGTATGTTCTGTAAGAAGCTGCTACCCTTCAAACATTGCATCTATCCTACTGCCAGGAGCAGGAGAAACAGGGCAGATGCAACAGTGCCTGGACAGCAGGATGGACTCACCTGTACTTGGGCCTCCCTTCTCATCAGATAGCGCATTTTGCCCAGGATGCACTGCTGAAGCTGATCCCACAACATGGCTCTGTCTTCCCGCATCAGTAAAGGTGGTCCAAACCTGAAAAACACATTAGAGAATTGCTGTAGGTTGTGCAAAGAAACTAGCCTTCAGGTGCCTTTTGCTCACTTAGTGATACAAAAGAAGCCAAGACATCACTCACTCACTGGCAGAGGTATCTAAATTTTAAAGTTACTTCCCAATGAAATGAAGGGTGGAATTCAACATCACATTAATTTGATCATGCCAGCGGGGACTTATTTCAGAATAGCCGACTGCCAGAGTTCAGCAAGAAAGATGCTCTAAATCTCCCACTTCTCCTCCTCCATCACCCATCATTTTGCCCAGGCCCATTGCTCTCCGGGAAATGCAACTACATTTCAGATGTCAGGGGATAACGGAGCAGCATCTCTGAGGTTGGGATGATATTCTTCCCAGGCTGCTACCCAATTGGAATGTTACCATTCAGGCGACCCTCTGCTGACCCTGGACAATGGGCAGCCGGCAAACTAAAGTCCCATTGCTGTTCCTGGGTAGGAAAAGAGCATCCTGCACTCAAGCCACTAATATAAATGCCTGCACTTTTTAAAGCATTCACACCAACGTGCTGCTTGACCTGGGGTAGGACCATAGCTCAGTGATAGAATATAACCTTCCGTGTATAAGGTTCCAGATTTAATCCCTAGCATCTCCAGGAAAGGCTGGAGATGACCCCTGTCTGAAACCCTGGAGGGTCACTGCCCATCAGTGCAAATTATACTGAGCAGAATGGATTCAGTGGCCTGACTTGCTATAAGGCAGCTTCCTATATTCCCTATGTTTGTTCAGCCAGTTCTCCTCTGTACTTCTCCCCAGCTAATACTGCCTGAGAAGGGAAGAATGATTAAGGGGTGACTGGTTGTGCATTCATGTTTTCTTGAATGGCTAACAGTGGTGGTGGTTACATTACCAATCTCAGCTTTCTCTATGTAGACTAAAGGGAAGCTCATCAAGATGAAGGGTGCAAGACCAGCAGGAGGCAGTGCAGGCAAAGGATTGAGGGAAACTGTCTCTCTATGCTCTCACCCTGTTGTACGTTTCGCCAGTCCTCTGCATCAGTCAGCTTTACTGGGTGCAAGAAAGCTCCCCAAGCAATATCCAATGTCGTGATGAGACGTGAAAGCAAGAGGGGTAAACTAAGAGGTAAACGTACTATGAGGAATCTATGCAAATAAATGATCTTGCATGGGTCTCTGGCATAATACTCGACCAGTTCCCCAGTGTTCTAGAAAATCTTGTTTGGCCATTTCCAAAGCAGATTACAAACTTGGCATGCTAGTCACCTGTGAGATATAAAAACAGGTGGGCTGGATAACCTGGAAATGCTTCAAGTCATCTATTGCCAATCAAAATGTCATGTCTGGGAAATTTTGCATTTTATGGCAGATATTTGCTCAGGACTTTCCACTGATTCATCATTCTCATCAGGTGTGATCAGATCTTGTACTCCACAGTCTACTATGAAATGGGCGGGAAGGAGTTGAACAAATTTAGGCTGAGGGCAGGCGGGCTTAGGGACTATGCAAATTGACTAAATGGAAAGCTAAATCTTATTTCCACTTCAAAGCCAAGATAATTGTTTGAGGGAAAGCCTAGGCTGGCCGGATAGTCTGCATGAAAGATTTGGGGCAGGAAAGTCTTCTACTGTAAAGGCTAACTTTCTTTGGCAAAATATTTTCTTTTTGGGTTAAAAAACCCCCAAAAAAACTCCACATAGCCCCTTACTAGTTCTGTAACTAAAGGCAAAGGAAACTTGGTCTCATATATCCATCTCAGGAGCAGAAAAAAGTGTGTGTGTTTTTTCGCTTTCTTTATTTTCCATGCTAAAACTATTTTGCTTGTTTTGAAAGTATTTTATTTATTTATTTATGAATCTAAACATATTTGACCAAGGGATTCAAGAGACTGCACTTTTTGATCTGAACTGCTTGATCCCATGCTCTTAAAGGTTCCCCAGGCTGAAAGTTGACAGCTGGGCACTCAAAACTCTGGTGGTGCCAGCATAACTCTCAGCCAGACTTGACAGATTGGAACTCCAGGCTCCTTTGGCCAGCTTGCAGAACTCAAAAGACTGAGTCTCCTAAGAGCTACAAAGAGAATTAATGGAAATGATAGGAAGAGAAGCCAGGAAAACCTTTCTCCCTTCAAAATCAAATAAGGGGGGGGGGGGGACAAGCAAACCACTTGATCTATTGGAGACATATACCCTCCAGTTCCAGTTTAGGGTGGCTAGTCACACCCAAAAAAGGGGTGGGGAATGCATCTCCAGAAGAGTTTTGCATACGCAAATTTACATTTCTAAATGCAAATTCAGAAATGATTACCATTAATTTAAACAGAAATGCAACATAATGGGCAAGACAATGTACTCAAAACTGATGTTTTCCCCCAAAGAATTCTGGTAACTGTAGTTACTGTAGGGGTGCTGGGAATTGTAGCTCTCTGAGTGGAAAACAACAACTCCCAGGATTCTCTGGGGAGAAGACATGTGCTTTAAATGTATGGCGTGTGCACAAGTGACCTCTTTGCCTGCTTAATCTGCTATCCAGCTGCTAACTGTTGGTGGGCAACTTCAAGACCTCTGCTGCCCCATCTTAAGGTTCCTGTAAAATAGATGACCCTTCAAAGAGAAGACCACCCCCCCCCCATATAGAGGACTATCCTCTGAAAAAATAGGAGACATGGCTGCCATCACCACCCATTTGCGGCAACGTAGCAGAACCAAAAGTGTAGATTCAAGTAAGTTCCTGGTACCTTCTCCTCTAATGCATCTTATAAGCTCTTTTCTTGTTCTGACAACTATCAGTACCCCATTTCCTGAGCCCTGCAATCTGCGTGTGCTGTTTGGCTGAATAAATGGGGTACGAAAAGGACAGACAAAAGTTCTAGAAATCAAGCCATATAGTTCTTGTCCCTGCAAAAGCACTTGGGTTGGGAGGAGGGGAGAGGGAGACATGCCTACGTAACACGGAAATATTGCTAGATAAATTGCCCTCCATAAAGCTCAGCATGTTACAAGCCGTTTCCCAGCCGATGACTGGTTTATTAGCCACTGCAAGCATGCAGAGCGTTACTTAATGACATTTGGGATGTGCAATGTGAATTCATTACCCGCCTACAGTGCTTTTGCATCCAATCGCCCTCCCGCAAGCTCCTCGCAGCCATCAGTGGCTGGTAAACCGAGTGCAGCTCTTCCCCCCCACCTCCATCCACATCTCCAGCATGGGAAAGAAATTGGCTTTTGAAGGAACAAGTGGCACACCGGGCAGAACACCACTGCAGGCCAAATGGTCCAAAGCGCAGCTCAGGACACTCGGTGGTTGCTTCTCCAGACCCACTGCACAGCTTGATTTGGCTGAAGCGACAGCGCTCCCATTCCAAGCCCCTTCGTCACCAAGTGGAGACAATTAACTTGCCACTAGGCTTGCTTTATCAGAGCTTAACATTAATGTTACACAGCCCAGATGTTGTGCCAAATGACACAAAGGAAACTGCTCTTAACAAGCCCAGCTGCTGCTTCTGTGATTGCTTCCGGCTTTTTCAGAGCTGCTAATCAGCAAGCTGGGATCTAGAAAACAAAAAAAACAAGCAACTAACTAACTCCCAAGCTCGAAGTCCCATCCCTCTGAAAAGGCCTCTGCGAGCCTGAGAGTAACAGGGGACAGCCAACAGGTCAAGTGCCCATTTCAGGAAAGGCACCTAAGAAACTGTGTTATGCTGTGTCCACACTGACTGGCAGCGGTCCTCCAGGGTTTCAGACAGGGAGTCTCTCCTAGCCCTACCTGGTGATGCTAGGAATTGAACCTGGGATCTTTGGCATGCAAAGCTGAAGCTCTGCCATTGAGCCACAGTGGCAGAACTCTTAACCGTTCTAGCAAGAGCTTTCCTGCTGGGCAGGACTTACCGCACAGCTTGCTGCCCTGCCCCAGCCACATTACAGACAAGGAGCAGGATCCTGCCCCCTCCGCCATGGTGCAGGAACTCCGATGAAATGGCCCCATTATGAGCCAAGCGCTGGCCTTCGGGCTCAGAAGAGTTGGGAGAGGATGGGAGGCTGTGGGGACAACCTGGGAAAAGGAAAGAATAACGCACATGAGTAAATCCCCAAGGCATCCCTCTCCTCTACTGGACAACTACTTTGGGAATGGCTTAAAGAAGAACATAGGAAGAGCTGATGGATCAGGCCAGTGGTCCATCTAGCCCAACATCCTAGAGCAGCATCTGGGAAGCCTGCAAGAAGGTCCTGCACACAATTGCACTCTGCCTACCTGTGACTCCCAGAAAGGTACTCAGAAGCATAGCTGCCTTCAGTCATGGACACAGGGCATAGCCATCATGGCTGCTATCCATGGATAACCCAACCTTCCATGAATTTGTGCAATGTTCTTTTAAAGCCATCAAAGTTGGTGGCGATCAGCTTCTCCTGGGGGAGTGAGTTCCAAAGTTTAACTATGAGCTTTTAATATCATTCAGGTATACTGAGCCGAGGCCATTTAAACGTCAGCACCAACACTTTGAATTGTGCTCAGAAATGTGCTGGGAGCCAGTGAAGAACCTTTAGGACAGGTGTTATGTGGTCCTGGCAGCTACTCTCAGTCACCAGTCTAGCTGCTGCATTGTGGATTAGCTGCAGTTTCCGAGTCACTTTCAAAGGTAGCCCCACGCAGAGCGCATTGCAGTAGTCCAAGCAGGAGATAACCAGAGTATGTACTACTCTGGTGAGACAGCGTGCCGGTAGGTAGGATTTCAGCCAGCGTATCAGATGGAGCTGGTAGACAGCTGCCCTGGACACAGAATTAACCTGCACCTCCAAGAACAGTTGTGAGTCCAAAATGACCCCCAGACTGGTCCTTTAGTTACCCCATTCAGGACCAGGGAGTCTCCCATACTTGCCTGCCCCCTGTCCCCCAGAAACAGTACTTTTTACTTATCAGGATTCTATCTCAACCCAATAACACCCATTCATCCTCCAACTACCCCCAGACAATCACATAGGACATTCACTGCCTTCACTGGTTCTGCTTTAAAAGACAGGTAGAGCTAGGTATCACCTGCATATTGGTGAACACTCAACCCCAACCCCCTGATGACCCCCCCAATGGCTTCATATAGATGTTGAAAAGAATTGGGGAGAGGATGGAGCCCCAAGCCACCCCACAAGTGAGCACCCAGGGGTCCGAACACTCATCCCCACACACCACCTTCTGGACAAGCCCAGGAGGAAGGAGTGGACCCACTGAATAACAGTGCCCCCAGCTCCCTCCCACCCCCATACCATTGTAAATAAAACCCATGAGAGCTGCAGGGTTGGGGGGAAGCTTCCTAATTATAATAGATAGCAAGGGAATAAGATGACTCGAGATTTGCGGGCTCTCAATTTCCAGAACTTTCATAGAAAATCTAGACACAGATCATCCGAAATTCATAAGATATAGGACATATTGCCTTAGAACAAAGGTTTGACAAAATGATTCAGATTAATCCCTTCCAGATCTGCGATTCTGCAAGGAAGAATAAATATTAACACTCTCAACAAGTTGGTGTCTATTATCACCAGCAATAAACGCTCACGCATAATCAGTCCAATCTGCACCTCCAATTTGCAGCTAGATCTGTCCACCTCCCCAGATCTGGGCTGCGCAATTCATCAAAACCACCTGGCAACAGGGCTGTCCAAAAGGCAGGATTGCCATGAACTTCATCTCCCGGATCTACGTGCGCTGTCTCCTCTGATGTTTTTCAATTAAGGCCTCTTGTTTAGCCCGGAGAGGCAATAAATCACTGCCACGGCACTTTGTCTCCAGTTTTCCTTCTCATTTTGCATATAAAAGCTAATCCATCCCAAAATGCAGCCATAAGTGCCAAGGATCAGCTCATCCCCATTCTCCTCTCAGCACCCGGCTTCTTCCCCACCAAACTGCCCTCTTGAAGCCTCAGCCTTGCAAAGTCCATATCCTGTATACCTGAAGGAGCGTCTCCACCCCCATCGTTCAGCGCCGAGGGCCTTCTGGCGGTTCCCTCATTGCGAGAAGTGAGGTTACAGGGAACCAGGCAGAGGGCCTTCTTAGTAGTGGTGTCCGCCCTGTGGAACGCCCTCCCTTCAGATGTGAAGGAAATAAACAGCTATCTTATTTTTAAAAGACATCTGAAGGCAGCCCTGTTTAGGGAAGTTTTTAATATTTAATGCTGTATTGTTTTTAACACTTGATTGGAAGCCGCCCAGAGTGGCTGGGGAAACTCAGCCAGATGGGCGGGGTATAAATGGTGAATTATTATTATTATTATTATTATTATTATTATTATTATCATCATCATCCAGGGAAGTATCTCAAAATTCACAGCTGCGGGATTCTCAAATCGGACCTGACCCCACCCCCACTCACCTCCCCCTCTCCACCTCTCCCCCCCTTTTCTTCCTAATGTCTCAACAAACAAAACTGATCTGTAAAAAAATGTTACTTGGAAAGAGAGAGAGAGAGAGAGATTACACATACTTTTGTAAACCAAGAGAATTTTTAATAAAAATACATTTTAAAAAATTGGGATGAACTTGGAAGTCACGTTTGGCTCATTTATCAAATCAACAGAATGAAGCAGTAATGTGCTTTCTGGCCTGTGGCTCCACTTCAGGCTGAAGGCAGGGGTAACATGTTTGAATGCTTCCTCTCCCCCCCACACACACTGAAACAGACTCAAACACCTGTCATGTATGATCTAGTTGAGATCCCTGTGTTGCAGGGGGTTGACTAGATAATCCTCAGGGTCCCTTTCCAACTCTACAATTCTATTACTCTATGATTCTACACAGAGCAGGTGGAAGCATGTCGAATATTTATTATTGTTTCCCCAAAAAACTTCTGGGTTTCTTTAGAAGAGGCACCATCGTTCCCCTTTGCCTCTCTTTTCTTTTCTTGTTCTTTGCGGGCTTTTAGCCTCGCTACACCCTCCTGCCACTCCAGGATTCACAACACCTCCCAGCTCCCTGACTTGGAGCTCTTTGGATCTCTAGTGGCATTTTACAGACTGTAAAACCAATTTATCTCGATTCAGAGCCTGACCTTTTGAAGCACGGATGGCTTGGCTGCCTGCCAGGTCCATGGGAGGCTAAAAATAACTTCTTGTATTAGTCACAAAACAGAGATGGGTCCCCTTTTGGCAACACACTAATTATAAAACTGTATTGATCACAGGTCTGCCACGCGGAGGATGGAGCAAGCTTGTTTTCTCCTGCTCCAGAGGCTAGGACCCAAACCAATGGATTCAAAGTTACAAGGAAGGAGATTACAACTAAACATCAGGAAGAACTTACTGACAATAAGAGCTGTTCGACAATGGACAGAGGTGGTGGAGTCTCTTTCCTTGGAGGTTTTTAAGCAGAGGATGGGTGGCCTTCTGTGATCTAGTTGAGATCCTTGCATTGCAGGGGGCTGGACCATATGACCCTCTGGTCCCTTCCAATGCTACAATTCTACAATCCAAGTGAGTCTCTAGAGCAGCCTTTCTCAACCTGTGGGTCCCCAGATGTTGTTGGACTACAACTCCCATCACCTCTAGCTAGCAAGGCCAGAACTCAGGGATGATGGGAGTTGTAGTCCAACAACATCTGGGGACCCACAGGTTGAGAACCGCTGCTCTAGAGCAACAACATCAGGAGTTCCCAAAAATCACTGTCCCCAAAAGGTACCCAAAGCACACAGCGGCATGAGTCCACCTGTGACATTTCAGTCAAACTCTAGAGATCCAGTGACCCTCCCATCAACCCCAGCCAACGGTCAGGAATGATGGGAGTTGTAATCCAACAAGACCCTTGCCATAGAGTTTGGCTGAGCTGGCACAGGTGGGTTCATGCTGCCACCACCTTCCAATGCCTAGGGGTATCTTCCAGGGACTGTGGGTTTTTGTGTCTGTGTGTGTGTTTGGAGATGCTTCATGTTGTTGCTCTACTGCAGACATAGGCAAACTCGGCCCTTCAGATGTTTTGGGACTACAACTCCCATCATCCCTAGCTAACAGGGCCAGTGGTCAGGGGTGGTGGGAGTTGTAGTCCCTAAACATCTGGAGGGCCGAGTTTGCCTATACCTGCTCTACAGACTCACTCACTACCTGTGATAAAACAGAATTTTGCAATTCATGTGACTCCAGGAGGGGATCTGTCTCCTTGCTGTTGTTTTTCCCAGGTACACCTGCCTGAGCTTGCACAGTAGCCATGGAACTAGAAGAAGGTAAGAAGAGCCTGCTGACCAGACAGGTGCTTATGGGAAGACTGCAAGCTGGAGATGAATGCACAAACACCTGCAATTCCCAACAACTGGTACTGTATGGGAGCAGGCAACTTCTGAAAGTGGAGGTGGAACTCTAGGGCTTTTCACCTTCTTTGAGACACCTGCCAATGGGAGGTGGAGTCCAACATCATTCTCAGTCCCATCTTAGGCCTGCCACCTCTCTTTCATCTGCCTGCTAATAACTGGAATGAAAGCAATTGCAAACAGCCAAATCACGTCTGTTTCCATTTCAGCTACGTTAGGGGAGACATTTTTCCCATGGGCTTTTCCCCCCTGAATGGTTCGATATAGCTGCATTATCACTACAAACCTAAACCATTTTCAGTGTTTCAAGCTTAAACTGAGAAACCTTGGAATGCTGTGCAGGAGAGGGTATGGGCATATCTTTTCCTGCTGTACATCATGAACTAGTTCACAGCATAATTCCCCAAATGCCTGAAAGGCAGAGGCAGAACACCATAGTAAAGCAGGCTTAGGAGCAGATAGCAGCTTCCCCCAACCTGGTGCTCTCCAAATGGCCATGCTGGGGGGGGGGGGAGGTATCTGGAGGATCCCAGGTTGAGAAAGTTGGTC